CCTTTTTTTCGCCGACGATGTCAAGGTGGTTGGATCTGAAGGAAGAGAGAACCTAAAAAGAGACATAACTGCTGTCCTGAGCGGGGCGTAGAAGTGGGATTTGCCGCTGAATGCTGGTAAAAGCCAGTTGCTATCGCGGACTGACGGAAGCTTGACTGTAGTGCAAGACCAGGGTCCGTTCACGATAGAACCGATTACTGAGGTAAAGGACCTGGGTCTTGTCGTAACCTCTGATTTCCGCTGGGCTTAGCAGTGCGTAGCAGCTGCAAAAAAGGCTCGCAGAGAACTCTTCAGATTGAGGTCAGCATTATCTTGCAGAAAACCGGAGGTGTTCTTGCCTCTGTACAAAGCTATAGTTAGACCTCAACTCGAGTAATTTGTGCAGGCATTGCCACCCTTCTTCAAAAAGGATGTCGCCTGTTTAGAGCGCGTTCAGCGACTGGCAACGAAAATGGTTGAGGAACAGCGAGGTAAAAGCTACAAGTGAAGGCTTCCGGACCTGAGACTATTCTCTTTAGAAAGGGGAAGGCTCAGGGGAGATATGATAGAAGTATTTAAGGTAATGAAAGGTTTACCTGGTATTAGACCAGAAATCCTGTTCCAGGAAGCGCTGGATTCTCGTACAAGGGGACATGAAATGAAGCTAGTCAAGGCCCGGTCTTGACTAATAGCCCGGTCATACTTCTCCAGTAACAGAGTAGTAAGCATATGGAACAGACTACCTGTGGAGCTAATACAACTGCAGACAGTGCTAGCATTTAAGTCGGCCCTGGACGAACGGTGGTGTGAACTTGTTCCTGAAGTGGAGGTCTGACAAGCTAGCGACTTGAGAAAACTCAGAGAATTAAAAGCGGGTCACTCAGGTTGTATGTTTTTGTTTTCGCTCTGTTATGTATTGGGGAACCCCCACGTATAACAATCTCTCGCCTGGGAGGTGAGATGAGACGTCTTTCTCTTCCTCTTTTCAGCCAGGAAGTACGGATTACTTTTCGCAGTGGTGGGTGCCATACTTGACCGCATACCACCGAAAGAATTCTGAACGCTCGATTGGCCGTGGCCATTTTCTGTCCTGTGCAAACTGAACTGAACTGAACTGACCTGAAATGAACTGAACGTTGCTTACGTTAGTTACGACTGACCTTGAACCTTGACCGCGCGGTTCGAAAATTTGACGTGGGGACTCCTCGGATCAAATAAGCTGCAAAACCAAGGAAGGAGCCAAAAATTCCGGGATATAGGATCTGGGATAAAGGTTTCCAAAGTCTGGTCAAGGAAAACGCACAAGGTGGGCCAAAATCGTAATGTGTATCTTGGCGGGATTCAATTGACCTAAAGCGCAATACCAGCGGTTTTCCAATTCTACTGTAAGGAATATTAAATATCCGAGATTTCTAGCACACAATAACGAAGGCTTTATCTTAATAGCATCCGTAGTTTTACTCTTACATATCTATCTGCTGACGTTTGATCTCTGTCTATAAAATTTTCAAACTCGTTTAAAAGATTGATATGGAGCTTAACCATAATGGCATGGGCACCAGCACCAGGTCATTCACAGGGAAATGCATGACAGCCACATTAGTCCAGGAGTATCCGTGTGGGAAGGATAGCTGCACTGCTGAGGTTTTTGACGAAGGCATAGGCTGTGACACCTGCAGCACTTGATTCCACCCGAAACGCAGTGGGCTGACGAGTGGCAGCTTCCTACTATACGGACAACACAAACGCCTGAAGTGGGTGTGCCTAGCCTACACAACTTTACTGAGGGACCTTGAAAAAAGAAAAACAGGCGTCCAGGCTTAAACTAAAGCCCAAAAGAGGAGGCGCATGGCTCCTGTTCTACCCTCGGTCGAAATCGAGGAAAACGTAAGCACAAAGGCAAAAAGACAGAAAAAGAAGAGCGGAAACAAAGGGGAGCACTTGCTAACATGACATCTGAGAGTGAGATCACAGCCACCGTTGAGAACCTAGCTAGACGGATGGATGGGCAGGAGGAAAACCTGAATCGTCTCAGGAAGGAAAAAACATCTTTGATGAAGTGTTTGAGAGGCTGCGAAAGAACACAGATGTAGCCATTGGTAGACATTGCAACGTTCTCATCCACGGTGTACCAGAACCGTTCATGAGGCAAGGTAGACTGATGGAACGGTACATGCGGGAGCACTTGGCCACGTTGTTAAGAGCGGTAGCACTCCCCGACCATGTACTGCTCAAAAAAGTACTTAGACTTGGGCAGTGGAGGGACCCTAAAGCGATAGGAGCAGCAGAACCTAAGCCCATCATAGTAGAATTCGGAAACCATGGTTCCAGGGGCCCTCCAACTCGACACGAAGGCTCAGGAAAATGTAGGCCCTGACGGACCAAATCCGTCATACAAGGAGGTTCTTCTGAGACCGCCCAAGGATAAAGGACCCAGTAGACCAAAACAGGCGCGAAAACCTGATTCGTTTGGGGGAACGAACAAAAAGCAACAATAAACGAAATACAGGCCCAATAAAACGGAATAGAAGCTCGGGAGTGAATCCCGAGGAGCCACCCTCCCCTAGCGAAATGTCAAACACTAGGGGAGGAGTCCCACTGCACATTGCATACACAAATGCGTGTAGCGTGGGAAACAAATTGTCAGAGCTCGAAGTAGAGCCAGGAGAATGCGATGTTGTGGCGATCACGGAAACCTGGCTCCGGCCAGGATTAGACGTCANATACTAGTGGCACAGCACCTACACCAGAGCCACAGGGGTGATCTCACGATATCAACGCCTAACATCCAGGTTTCCGGCTGTGTAATGAGCGTCGGTCACACCAAACTGATGGTAGTTAGCGTTTACAGAAGCCCATCATCCATGGCCAACGAGGATGAGGCGCTGCTTCTTACGCTACGTACGGCAGCTCGCCACAATGGGAAACTTCTGATCCTTGGGGATTTCAAAACCCCAGAGATCAACTTGGGTGAAGAAAGTGCCCCATCGGGTTCCTTTGGTCATGCGTTACTAAACCTGCTCCACGATGAAGCCCTCATGCAACATGTAAGAGAGGATACGAAATAACACGATGGCAGCAGGCCCACCAGGCTGAACCTGGTAATAACGAAGGGGGCGAACGATATAGAAAGCATTCAGGTTATGGCCCCACTGGGTAAAAGTTACCATGCCCTACTTCATTTTACTGTCTATCCGAGGGTCAACCGCCCCCGACAAGAGAAAGCAAAATTATGGGGGAATGAACATAGCGCAGCTCCTACGAGATGCAAATTCCGTGACCTGGGAGTTGGACCCCAGTGAGTCATTAGACGAGTGTTGGAATCTAGTTAAGTCCAACGAATTGCAGCTCACGCATACTCATGCTCCGCTGAGGAGCATTAGGAGAAACGACAAGCTACCGTGGTGGAAGGCGCGAGTGTAGAAGTCTCAGGCTCATAAACAACGAGCGTGGGGAAAACTGATAGCCTCAGGCAGCCACCGCCGGTTCCTAGAATACGACCGAATGCGGAAGCGCGCAATAGCGGTCCAGGGTGCATGCAGGGTAGCATATGAACGAAAGCTGGCGAGAAACGCGAAACTCAACCCCAAAGCCTACTTTAATTATGCCCAATCCAAGGCCACAATTAGAGGGGCGGTAGGGAACGTCCTAAACGAGGATGGAGTTAACGCGGAATCGAATGCTAAAAAGGCGGATATTTTCCGCCGCTACTTCAAAAGGGTTCACCAACCGGATAGAGGGGAAACCCTACACCCCCCCCTCCCTAGAACGGGAAATACCCGAAATGGCCGAAGTCATCATCATCGAAGATGAGGTTAAGGCCCAACTGCAGGCGCTGAAGAGCACCAAGGCAGCGGGACCCGATGATATTCACCCGGCCATCCTGGAACCGCTGGCTGAGGTGCTTGGTGCACCACTAGCAAAGCTGTTTAACAGATCCCTCCAAGAGGGGCGGCTGCCGGGAGACTGGAAGGTGGCAAAAGTGGGGATAGAAACCAGGCTGCAAATTATAGGCCGGTTAGCCTAGCCTCAGTACCACTAAAAGTAATGGAAAGGCTCTTGAGGGACAAGGTGGTGGCCCATGTCGCGCGCCACCATCTGCTATCAGCCAACCAACACGGGTTTGTGAGGAGGAGATCCTGTCTCACGAATCTACTGGTATTTCTAGATGAGATAACCAACAAGCTGGATAAGAGGGAGAGGGTGGAGGTCTGATTCTTGGACTTACAAAAGGCGTTTGACTCTGTAAACCATAGGCTACTGCTCCGGAAGTTTAGAACCTTCAAAATCCACCCACAACTGATTACGTGGACAGAAGACTTCTTGAGGGGACGATCTTTCCATGTTTATATAGAAGGGACCAAATCGATGGAAGGCAGGATATCCAGTGGAATCCCACAGGGATCATTTCTAAGCCCTCTCCTATTCCTAGCCTATGTGAACGACTTGCCGGTGAGGTTGGAAAACCCAGCATTCATGTTCGCTGACTACCTAAAACTGGTAGGCTTCCCCTCAAATCAGTCCATGCAGAGGTATATGGTCACCCTCATACGCTGGACGCAAGACTGGGAGATACCGCTCAACGTGACCAAGTGTAGACAGCTCGTACAAATTGGAAACACAGGCCCGGTACGGTGGATAAACACCGGTAACCCAGTAGAACTCCAAAGGAGTGACGAAATGAGGGACCTGGGAATTCAAGTCACAAATAGCTTTAAAACAGGGAAGCAGTGCCTACTGGCGGCACGTAAGGCAAACAACGCCTTGTACCAACTGCTGAGAACGGTTGTCTCGCGGGATCCAGATGTGTTGTTACCCCTGTATAAAGTACATGTGAGACCACACTTGAAATACTGCATCCAAGCATTGTCTTCATGCCTGGAGCGTGACAAAATGGTCCTAGAGGCGGTCCAACGTAGGTTCACAAGGTGCTTCCCCCACCTTAGTGGTCAAGACTACCCAACCCGTCTGGCTGCGCTGAACCTATTCTCCCTAAAGCGGAGGCGTCTCAGGAGTGATCTGATCGAAGCCTTTAAAGGCATAAAAGGCCTAACTGACACGGGTGCTTCACTGTTCAATACCAGTGACAACGTGGCATTACGTGAGCACTCTTTGAAACTGGCAAAGGAGCGTTCTAGGCTGGACGTTCGAGCACAGTTTCTAAAAATCCGTGTAGTGAACAGCTGGAACAAACTCCCAGAAGCAGTTATCGCAGCAACGAATGTGATAAGCTTCAAACACAAACTGGATGACTGCTGGCTGAGTGTATTTCCTGATTTGGAGTGATCAGTGCAAGGTAAACCGTAGGCCAACCTGGAAGTCCCTATTGAAAGTTTAGACTTATATCTTGTTAGTTTTCCTGTCGCCCTATTCCTTTACGATAAATAACTTTTATTTTCTATAATTTATGAAGTAAAACTCTTGCGTTCTCCAAGTCTTCATTTACAACTTGTACTTACCCGCTGGTAGAGCGTGCCTGGCTTGAAGGTCTCGCATAGAAACCGTTTCAGGCGATGAAAATTTGTTGACCGGAGCCTACTCATATTACCGACTGAACATTCTTCATCTTCATTTTCGTGCTGAGAAGGCAGAGGGATCGCGCCCCGTATGAGCCTCTTCACCGCCGGTACCAATAAAAACCCGCTCAGTGGTCCGTAATCTGCCATCGTCTCACCAAGTGCTCGTCAAGACGGCGTTTGAAACGCGCCTCGTTCTACTCCTCCACCACCTCCGACGGGAGTGAATTCCAGAGTTCAGTTCAGTTCAGTTTGCACAGGACGATGTGTGGCCCAGGCCAATCTTGCGTCCAGATTGATGTGTTGTTGGCTGTTCTTGTGGCTTCCAACACTGCGAGTCAATAGGTTTTTTCATGCACTAATATACAGGGCAGAGAACCGAGGGAATTCGCCCTCCGGGAAAGGCGATAGACCAGAGGAAGCCCCTTTGACTCAAGCTCCCGGAGGGTGCGCCTGTGGCTGCGCGTCCGGGTGCAATCTGGCAGTGGAAACA